CATAATAGTGTTGTGAAGTAGGACTTAGAAGGTAAGAGCTAAGACTATACCTGAGGGTATGATAGTTACCACCACAAAATGGCAAGTTATTGTCACTTTTGTCATGGGGATAATACAGCAAGGAGGTCTTTGCCAGAGAGAGACCCCCTGACTCTCCAGAACTCTAGAGCCAACAAATTCCTACTCACTGTTAACTGCCCAGTATGTGGTAATATGAAATCATAGCACCAAACACATTGAAACACCTTTCACATACTCAGCTGTGGATCAACAGAGTTCAACTTTCCTGTCATACAGAAACAAGTCATAGTGCAGCAAAACCAGTCTTACCCAGGAGCGCCTGAACCTCATAGTGTTGAGACTTCTCATTTTGGCCTTTACTTTCTTCACTTATCTTTATTTTGGTCACCAAGTTGCCCCTCTGTTCCAAAGAATATGTGAATATCTCCTTGGATAGGAAAATTTGTCTTTTCTGATGCCCCTTCCCCCACCCCACACACAAATTTCACACACATAGAAAGAAAAATAAGGGAAAAAAACAACCAACCAAGCAAACAACAACAACAAAACCTCCTTGTTCCTCAGGAGTTCCTGTTTCCCACCCAGGTTAACGCTACTTTAATGAGTGAATGGACAACCATAACATTTACACCAATCAAGTGTATGCCCCAATCCCACGAGCCAGCAACATGTGAATCACATTTTGAATTTATTTTTCAACATGACTTTGCTTTGCTTCTTCCTTGAATTGTTGGAAGAAAAGTAATCATTTCGTTTCAAAGCAGCTTTCTATCTTTCCTAGTAGCAGGCAGAAAATGAACAGTGTACAGTCATCTTTAAGCTTACTTTCATCCTACTTGGAAATCTGAGTTTTGAGAATTTTACAGTTAAAAACTTTCTTTTTTATTCACCATTTCCTGGAAACTAGGAAGGACAGTTTCTTGCGATATTTGAGCTCAGATTTATTTACCTACCCAAGGCCAGGCATCCAGAAAAGTAGTGGGAATGAATGTAGAAATAACTAAATGAGACCCTCCATAAGAGAAGTCTTTCTTCTGAAATCCAGGTGGTCCTGGGGGCACTCACATTCAGATGGGGCTTTTTGAATGTGCTTTTTAATGGTGTGGAGGGGGGGAAGCATTCTCTCACAGGGTGTGGGTTGAGTTCAAGAAAATTCAGAGGTGAATTTCCAATATTTAATCTGGTCCCTGTCAGTGATTAATGAGGGTGCTGTTGGCATTGGGTTCTGTAGGAAGATTGGCAGTTCCAGCTTGTCATCTATGCTCACAGAGCCTGTGTTGTGTGTGTGTGTGTGTGTGTGTGTGTGTGTGTGTGTGTGTGTGTGTGTGTGTGTCAGCAGAGGAAGAGCATCAACTGAATTTTAAACATTAAGAGGTCTGTAGATATGATAAGTATTCATCTGACTCATTTTAGGGGGAAAGAGAAATATTGAGATATAAAACTTTGGCTGGGCAGTGGTGGCGCACGCCTTTAATCCCAGCACTTGGGAGGTAGAGGCAGGCGGATCTTTGTGAGTTTGAGGCCAGCCTGGTCTACAGAGCGAGATCCAGGAAAGGTGCAAAGCCACACAGAGAAATCCTGTCTCAAAAAACAAAACAAAACAAAAAGATATAAAACTTTGTTCTCTTGCCCTTTGCCCTGAATCCAGAAGCAGCTGTTGAGATGTATTTTGTGTACAGTGGGAACCTCTGTACTTTTCTCTGCCCTGTTCGCTTTCCCCTTGGTCACCTTCTTTCCCCCACTATCTTCTTCCTCTTCCATTCCTTCCTTTCTCCTTTCATCTTATTAATTAAAGCTCATACCCTCCTCATACATGATGCATTTCCTGACATGGAGAAGCAGACATATTTGCAAAGACTTGAGTGTACATCCTCTTATAGACCTCTCAGGGTAGGCTCCATGTGTGATGAAATATCAGATTTCATTAATACACCCAAAAGATAAGAGAGGACCGCTCTTCAACATGTGCATTACTTTTTTTCTTTGTTCATTTGGTGGTATAATGACTTGAACCCTTACACTGACCAGGTAACTTTTCTACACCTCTGACAATTCTCTAATCCTTTTTGAATTTTTGCTTTGAGATAGCATTGAACCAAGTTACCCAGACTGGTCTCGAACTTGGTCTATAGTTCAGGGAGGCATATAACTGTCCTGCTTCCGCCTCCTGACTAGCTGGGATTATAGACCTTTATCACCTGGTCTGGCCACTGTGCACTATGAAGGATACAGACCATATATTTTCCCCATCTCTGGGTTCTTTGTGCCTGCTCATGAGAGGAAGAAGAGGCACAGATGATGGGAATTGGTCCCTCTAGTCTAATGGGGAAACCTGCACAAAGAGAGCACAGCATCCAGGGTCAACTATTTTAGTCAGGAGCTTTGCTGAGAAGAAAAATGTGTTCCCTTTAGGATGTCAAGAAGAGGGAGAAAGGTTGGGATATCCACACATGGACTGCCCTCACTGAAGGAGAGGGAATCCCAGTGGGGCTACACAGGCAGGCAAAATCTCAGTGATGTTCACCACCAGAGAGAGTGTCTTGTGATCAGTGTACATTCCCTTATGAATGAACATACAATCCCTTGTTTGGTGATGATGGAAAATGACACAGAGTCCCATACAACCTGCTAAGTGCCCTGTCTTGGGATGAGCAGGGTATTGTGGGGCTTTGGGCTCTTCAGTGATGACAAATGGTACCCTGTGACCTAGTCTGCCAATCTGATCTAAATCAGAGGACATTTGTCTTTAGGGACCTGCCTAATTTCATGGCACTCACCAGAAACTACTGAGAAAGCCAGTTCTCAGCACAGTTAAAATGCCATCACCTTGTATACTGCAGCCCCTGTATGTGCCAGGTCATAGGATCCTGGTCTCTTGGATTTTCTTTATACCCATGATACTTCCACTTGATCAGTGTAGATATGCCCATTTTTTTTTTTTACAAGAAAGCTGCTCTTATAAGAGATGATGTCACCTCCTCAAAAAGGAAACAGATTCTTTGCCAGCTGTCCCTCCCGGCAGCAGACAGTTCATGCCGCTCTGACCTTCAGAGTATTTACTCCATCCATCCTCTTCCACATTGTTGGTCTGACTTATAGATCAACCAGGCTCTGACAAGGGAAGGAAGAAGAAAAGGGGGCAGTGGCGGGCAATAAAAACAGAGCAATCTGTACGCAGAGGAGATTCTATTTAAAAGCCATGTCAACTTGAATCCAACACGTCTCCATGGAGCTGGATTAAGACTGTGATTTTATTTCTTCATGATGATGTACAAATTAGAGCAGACAGGTCTCAGTAGCCCTGCGGGCAACATGGGGTCTAGCATGGTTTCTGCTTCCTAGCTACAGAAGTGTGTGCTTGGATGCTACTGTGCATTGAAATGGTATGCCAATGCTCTCAGTCCTTATTTCCTAGGGACTCAGATACCACGAGTGGTTTTTATTTGCCATGTGATCATATTTCTTTCTTTTTGTAAGCTCCTTTTTTTTTCAATCAAGCTTGCATTGGTTGCTTTTCCTTTGCTATGATAAAACATCACCATCAAGACAACTTACAGAAGAATGAATATATTTGGGCTTACAGTCTCAGAAGGTTAGATTTCATCATAACGATGGGGACAGCCTGGCAGCAGCAAGCATCAGGCATGGTAGCTGGAGCAGGAATCTAAGAGCTCATGCCATTAACCACAACTTCAAAGTAAAGAGAGAGAGAGAAAAAACTGAATGTAGGTGAGGGTTTTTACTTTCAAACACTGATTCCAGTGACATATTTCCTCCAGCAAGGCCATGCATTCTAACCCCCACCCTCCCACACACAGTGCCACTAACTGGGTCACATGTCCAAAAGCCAGAGCCTTTGGGTAACAATTCTCATTCAATCTCAAGGTTCTTGGTTATCCATTTTGACAACTGTGGTATAGCCAGGGTGAGAGACATTTGTCATCATTCCAACCAGGCCATTTACAACCTTGTCACCTCCCAAGGACCACTATCTTCAAGTGGTATCACATGAAGTTTATGGTTTAACTTGTGAATTTGGGGTGAACACAAACATCCAATTGCTAATAAAGAAATACTAAGGCACTGTCCTCTAGTTTTAGGGCATTAGTCTATAGCATACTTATCCTAGAATTTTTCTTGGGGATTAAGAAAAACACATTTAAGGTGCTCTGGAAGCTATTAAGTATGTATTATAGATATTATTATGAATAAGTAATTGTTGCCTTGCATAAACTTTAACATTATTTATCTTTAAATAATTACATGCTTTTTCACTCTAAAATTTGTGTGGTAGTATTTATAGTCACGTACCTATTTCACACACATGAAGACCCTGGGGAATGGATGCAGTTAGATCTCTTAATGTTATTGTCTACTTGAATGAAACTTGGCATTGAAATGTTGTTTAGTGATTATGAAATAGAACACATTGAAGCTCCAACATAACATGGTTCATTAGAGTGCTTCTCAGCAGTACAATTAGAATGTGATACTTGCCCAAAATTCTCGACAGAACATTCCTCCGATCACACACAATATAGCAGCATTTGCAGGGGCGATGGATGCTATGAGCACTAGGAAGTCTTTGCAGAAAGAAAGCTGCCTTCTCTAGTTTATTCATCATACTCTTTGTTTCCTGGATGGTGGTGAAAAGACTCATAGTATTGACATGTGATCAGGTGAGGAATTCTGCAGGTACTAACTTCTAGATAGGAAAACTGCTCACAGCAAGAATGACTTTGCTAAAGTCATGTGGCTTATGAGACATTGAACATGGTTCTCTTGAGAGACAGTTTGCTCCAGTGAACAAAACCATTCCCATGGTAGATGCTCATTCATTTGTGATCTTAAGCTTTGGAAACTGTAGTTCAGGTTAGAATCACAGTATTCCCTAAGACCAGAAAGACACCTGATGGGACTGTATTTTCAGGATTGTTCCAAAGTTCATGGCCTCCTACTGATTTCCTTCCTGTTTGCAGAGAGCAGCAGCCTGCATTCAGCCTGTGTCCATGAGAGTGCCGTGCATAGTCGAATCTTCCAGATCTTATACAGGAATGAAGAAGTTCCCATAAATGATGCCATGCTCTTCCGGACTCATTTGCTCTTAGACGGTGAGAGGGTAAGTCTTGCTCTCCTGCCAGACACAGAGGTTGTCTTTCCTGACTAACCATTCCATCTTGTTGTTGAATTCAGGGTGAGTGAAGGAGAAGCTACTGATAGATTCTGAGATCTGGTAAGAATTTATGGTTCAGATATTCACCTGCTTCGGATGTGTTTTTCTTCTTCATTCTCATGCCTGCTCATTCCATGAAACCATGGTCACAGACAGTCACTCCTCACTTGCCCGAGTGTACCTCTGCTCAGGCTTACTGTCCACGAATGTATGGTTTAATTATCTGTTCTTTTTAAGCTCTGGGTTAGGTCATTGAAGAAGACATAGAAGTGAAGAAGGTTTCAAGGCCCCTTGTCTTCAAGGGCCTGGTAACTCAGTTAATGAGCAACAAGCACATTATAGAGGAGAAGATTCAGTCTCTGCACTGAGGCTATGGATGATAACCAGAACCAATTACAAAGAGAACTAACTAGAAGCCAAGGAATCTGATGGGATGTTTTAAAATAAATACAGACAGGGAGTAGCTGTAGAGGCCCTGTGGATATTTTATTCATATATGCTATAGTGACATAGAAAATTTAGGCAGACTTAAAAAATATATAGACTAGTAAAAGGGAGGAACAGTAGAATGAGCCAGAGAAGATAACAAACACAGAGGATGTCAATGGCCAAGCCACATGACAGCCAAAGGTAGCCTAGAGAGAAGAGTTCAGTTATACCCAGGAGATGGAGGACTCCATGTAGATAAGGCAGTCTGTAGAAATGGACTATAAGAGTGGCCCATGCCCCTCTGGCTCCTACAGTTCTTCCTCCTCTTTTCAGCAGAATTTCCCAAGCTCACGTAATGTTTGGCTGTGGGTCTCTACATATGTTCCCATCAGTTGCTGAATGAAGGCTCTCTGATGACAGTTGGAGCAGTCACCAATCTGATCACAGGGGATGGCCAGTTCAGGTTATGCATCTACTATTGCTAGGAGTCTTAGCTGGGTTCATCCTTGTAGATTTGTGGGAATTCCCCTTGCATCAGATTTCTACCTGACCCTGAAATGCCCCCCCTCCAGTCATCTCTTTCAGTACTCTCCCCTTCCATTGACCCCCACAACCCGATCCTCAAGTTCCCATCCCCACCTGCCCCAAGTCCACTTGAGATCTTATCTATTTCCTCTTTCCAGGAGATCCATGCATCTCCTCTTGGGAACTCCTTGTTCCCTAGTCTCTCTGGGTCTATGGATTCTGACATGGTTATCCTTCACTTTACAGCTAATATCCACTTGTGAGTACATGCCATGTTTGTGTTTCTCAGTCTGGGTTACCTCATTCTGGATGATTTTTACGTAGTTCATTCACTTGCCTTCAAATTTCCTGATGTCATTTTTTTTAACAGCTGAGTTATACTCCATTGTGTAAATGTACTGCATTTTTTTAATCCATTCTTTGGTTGGGGGGCATCTAGGTAGTTTCCAGGTCCTGGCTGTTATGAATAAAGTTTCTATGAACATAGTTGAACAAGGTCATCACAAGAAAACCCACAGAAACAACTAACCTGTCTTATAGGAACTCACAGAATCTAGTTCAACAACCAGGGAGCCTGGATGTGAACAACCTAGACCGTCTACATATATGTGATAATTGTGTAGCTTGGTCTTTGTGGAACTCCAGACAATGGGAGTAGGGGCTGTCCATAATGCTTTGGCTGGCTCTTGAGAATCTACTACTTATACTGGGTTGCCTTGTCCAGCCTTAGTACAAGGGGAGATGCATAGTCTTAAGGCAACTTGATATGCCATGCTTTGTTGATACCCATGGGAGGCCTGCCCCTTTCTGAACAGAAACAAGAAGAGTAGATTGGATGTAGGGCAGAGAGAAGGGAGGGAATGGGAGGAGAGGGGGAAAGGGAAATTTCAGACAGGATGTAAAATAAATGAATGAATGAATAAATAAATAAATAGATTGTGCCATGCTCTTGGAGACACCAGTGATAGTCCAATGTAGTTGAGAGAAGCAAAGCTTCTATTGTATAGTGATAGGAATTGGGTCTAGTTGTATTAACCATCCACTGATCTTATCACCAGTAACATCTCATATTTGTCAGATTAATTCCATTGGGCTTTTTGCTGAGTGCTTTGTAATATCTCATTGAGTCGTTGCAGTATGGTGAGGGGCTTTCTCAACACCCTTTGATGTATAAGGATGCAGAGATTTAGAGCTGTGACTTGTCTCCATCACACCACGAAGGTGTGGTAAAGCTGTGGCTTAAATCTGGAATTTAAGAAGTGTTTTTCCAAAGAGCATATAGGACCACCACGTAAATGTGGTGGGAGAAGGGGGATCCTCCGGTTGTTCAAGCTCAGTAGTAAAGTAGAAATAACAACTATAACAAATTGCATTATTTGAAATTGGTCAACCCTTTTCGTACACTTCTTTAGTTCACTCTAATGTTATAGAGTAAGTAGAAGTATTTTATTCTCATGTTATGAATGGAAAACAACTGGATTCAGGATTTGCATTCATGCATTCTGACTTTAGAAGCTTCCTCCTTAGCCTTCAGGCTACAGGGGACCTGGAAGAAAAGAGAAGAATCACTGTGATAAACATATGTTTAGGTGTCTTGCAACTATAATAAGTAGGTTCCTATAAACATGTATATGTAGGTATCTTGCAACTATAATATGTAGGCTTCTATAAACATATATGTGTAGGTATCTTGCAAGTAAGATTTAGCAAGGAACTAGGGAAAGTCATAATTAGAATCAGTCTAGTCTCAATTACCAGAGAATTGCAGTCATTAAATCTAATGCTCACAGGAAGTTCTCAGTATCCAGGCAAATGCTTGCTCAGAAAGTGGTTAATGGGTTTACTTCTCCCATCTTATTTCCAGGGAACTGATAGTGAGAGCCCATGCTCCTTTGGTTCTATACAAAGCTAGATTTTTGGTTATGAAAAATAAACATAAGAGAAGTTATTTATAGCACTTGAATTCAGCAAAATGTTAGCTTTCTAAGTATTCTTTAAAAAATAACACTTTTTAATACCACAAAGGCCCAAAGATAAATTCTATTTGTATGTCTCTGCTTGAATTATGCTTAATTAAGAAGTTATTTCCAAAGAAGCCTTTGGGTAGATGATGTCTGTCCCTCTGGGATGAGAGTATTTTTGTAAAGAAACAAAAGACAAAATAGGTGAGTTTGGGAGAACAGTTTTATTCCTCAAAGATACATTGACACTGCCTCCACACAGGACACTATTCCTGCAAGTTGGAGTCCACAACGAATAAGGACTAACGTATTCCTTAACAAGGAAATTAGCAGGGACATATGGCAAAAAAATAGCCAGGGTGTTTTGCCTCAAGCAGGAGAGCACTGCCAGGGATTGTGGTAAACCAGTGGTATTTGCAGGATTTGCCTGATCCAAACAGAGCTAACAAATGTCAGCCCTGCCTTGCCAGATCCAAGGGATGTTTTGCTTTTTTTTCTCCCCAGAAGCTCTAAACCCACAATACAAACATGAATGTGAAATTACCTGAATTTCTTGCATTTGCAACTTGTTCAAAATGTTTTTAAAAATACTACGGGGACTAAACAAAAGCTGCCTGGAGGTGAGATTTGCTTTATGGGTTTCCAACATAGGAGCTCAGAACAAGCTATGGTAATCAGAAGTGCTAAATGTGAAGAGGGAAAAGAGGTGGCTCACTTTGAGTTGCAGAGGAGGGTTTCAGCCAGCCAGGGAGCAGACAGGGGTCTAAGCCCTGTGGTACGGGGACAGTGCTGACACAGGGATGAATCCACAGAGTACAGAGAATAAAGACTGCTGCATAGCACACAATTCCCCTATACAGTTGAGAAAGGAGACCCGGGGACACGATTTTGGGGGGCATATGTGAAAAGAACTGTCGTATTGCTTTTTTTTTTTTTTTAAATGCCAAGATCAGCACAAATATGGATGAAACCCAAACATTGAAGGAAGGAGAGTTTGAGACTTAGCATAGGAGCTTGAGTCACTTTGGAAATTAATCACTTAAGCTCCCTGATTGCCAACTTCCTCCCCTTAACATGTGGATGGTGATGTGAGTCACATGGGGATATTTGAGTGTAAGTGGTAACTTCATGCATCTCTGCACAAGTTTTGTTCCACTGATAGTTCGCTCCACCATCCTTCCCAGGGTAGAGGCTCTTTAGTCTTTTACACATGCCTGAAATCCATGTCAAATTCATTTGAAAATGAGACTTAAAATGCTTAAATGCTTCACATTTATTTTCCAGCTTCTGTGATAAAAAATAAGCTGACAAGGGCAACTTAAGGGCGAAAGGGTTGATTCCAGCTCACATTTCAAACACAGCCCATCTTGGCAGGAAAAGTCAAGGTTGCAGAAACTTGCAGCAGCTGGTTATGGTGCATCCACAAACTGGAAGCAGAGAGCAATCAGTACATGCAAATGCTCAGCCTGCTCCTCCATTCATGTAGTTCAGGATACCTAGCCAGAGAACGTCCTGTCTAACACTTAAGATGGGTCTTCCCACATCATTTAACCTAACCAGGACTATCATTCATATGCATACTCAGAGGCTAAACAACCCCTCATAGATATGCTTGGAGACTTACCTCTGAAGTGATTTTACATTTCATCAACTTGACAATGGAGATTAAGCATTACAAGGATGCTTGTTTAATAATAGTTAAAGATATCCTTTTACCAAGCTGGCTGTATGAATCCTTTGTTTCCATTTTCCATCTAATATCCCTATTCTAATAGTCTGCTTATCCAGAACTTGATGTCTCATGCATAGATATACTTGCTACACATCAGTGGCACTTTATAGTGAGATTCTGTTTCTCTGCTTTGAGAAACAGTCAGCTAAATGTCCCAGTTGGATTACTAATTGACTTCTGAACTCTCTTGGTCTTTGTCTTTCAGGTAGAAGATGCACTGAGCGAGGTCGAGTTTCAGCTCAAGGTGGACCTGCACTTTACGGATAGTGAGCAGCAGTGAGTGTCATGGACATCCTTGGTCTGTGTAGAGTTGTTTTTTCCTCTACCCTTTCCTCACTCTTAGGGCTTCCTCAAAGCTAGAATCTTCTTAATTTCTCTGGAATGGCTAGTTACTAGTAATCAGTAATGTCCCTCAGTAGCCCCAATTTACCAGGAACATGGGATAGACATTTTATTAGTCAAGGTTTTCTAAGGAACAGGACTGATAACATTACACGCACACGCACACGCACACGCACACGCACACGCACACGCACACACACACACACACACACACACACACACACATACGCATTAGATTGGCTTATATGGTGTGATCCAGATAGTCCAACAATAGCTGACTCATGCTAGAGTGACCAAGAATCCGGTAGTGGCTCAGTCCATGAAGCTGAATGTCTCTGCAGTCCCAGCCTGGTGCTGAAGGGCTGGGGGGACTCCTGGAGAGATGCTGCTTTTCAGTTTACATTAGAATCCTGACGCAGTTGGAAGAAGTTGGTGTGATTACCAGTGAAAGAATGATGCAGGAACAGAATAGATAGCCTTGCCAGTGAGAGAATGAGCAAGTAGACCAAAAGCAAAGTTTCCTTCTTCTGTGTCCCTTTATGGAGCTGCCACCAGAGGTGCTGCCCAGATTTAAGGTGGATCTTCCTACTTCAAATCAACTTATCAAGAAAATTGCTCACAGGAGTGCCCAGCAGCTTGGCTTTCAACTGATTCTCGATGCTGTCAAGTTGACGGACATGATTTGCCATCACAGCATGTCTGCCAGAGCCTGGAAAAGCTCACTTGTAGGAGCCAGGCTGCTCGGGTTCTGCAAACAGACAATTGCTGGCTTCTTGCCTTATTAATGGCTATCTTCTGCTTAAAACATTTTCCCCTGTGTGGTACTGATTTGGGGGTTTTAGAGTAATGACTCCATGTGCTAGACGATCAAAACTCCCTTCAAATCATTCTTTCTGGTCTTCCATGCGCTCATACTGAACATCTGCTATTGTTCTTCAACTCTCAGTGAACTGAAAACTATTTATGTAAAACTTGCTGAGGAAATAAGCAGGGAGCCATTCTCTTCCTTTTCTTAATAGCTTCCTTCAAGTTTGTTCCGTGGCCTCTTCCCTCTACCCTGGCCTGGGCTATTTGCCTCTTAAGCCTTTTTATATTCTCTCAGGAATTAAATAATCAATCATTCTCTGAGGAATTAAAAGGTATGATATCAAAACTTCAAAGCTCGCATTCATTTAAGGTTTCTTTCCATTCATTTAGGCCCTTTTAAGTATAGGATGTTCTCAACATCCTAAAGGGGATGGCAGAGGGCTTTGTTCTTCTTCCTTAGCTTGCTTTGCCCCTCCCTCTGTGGCTTGTAGATCAGGCACAGTGAGGAAGGAGATACGGTAAGGGCCAGGAAATCACATTTGAATGCTGGCAAGTGGTGTCCTTTCTAGGGTAAATACTCAGTCATCATCAGGGTTCTTATGAGTTACTTGATGGTGTGACCATTAAGCACACCTCCACCCCAACTCTGCCCCATCCTTGAAGTCCCCTAATCAAGTCAAGCCTCTTGTGGTCATGCATGACTTCTAGGAAAATATTTGTGGCAAATCCTTCCAGAGAATCCACATGTGGTCCATGGGAGCTGTGTAAAGTTATTTTAATTCTCTTCCTAAAAATGTGGAAGCTATTCCGCACAGTTGCTTTGCTGTCCAAGATAGTCAAACCCAGCTATTATCCAGAGAAACACTGCAGGATGCATCAGGCACCAGAACTTTACACCCACAGCTCTAAGGTGCACAAGGCAATTACCCTTCAGAACTCCTGCTTTGGTTTGAGAGGACAAAGAGATGGCATTCCTTTCCTCTACATCCTATTAGAAGGATGCTAGCATACACTGACTATTCTCTGTAGCAGTCAGTGCTCACATCTTGTCTCTTGAAATTCTTCAACAACTGCTTCTCCTTTGCTTTTGGAGAACAGGAACTGGGGGGCAGGGATTAAAAATGGCAGAATAGGGGCTAATAGTGGCAGAATTGGGATTTCCTCCACCCGTTCTTGCGAGTTCAGACTCCCTCTCTTTAGGAATTTCTTGAGGGTTCTCACAATAAGGGAAACTGAGTCATTGTGACTCTGAAACAAAGAACCTCTGCTAAGATGTCAAGAGATCTGGTACTGTTGAGTCATTGAGAAGAAACATGCATTAACTGTAGCTGATAAGACTTGGTCCCTGGGCTGCCAGGAATATCCATGTTTCTGACATGTCTATGCTCAACAGCACACATTTCTTCTTGAGAATTACTTGTGCACTTACACACACCACACACACACACACACACACACACACAAACACACACACACACACACCTGTCTCTTTCTTGCTAAGAATCTTTAGGATAGTGTTTCCTCTGTGATGGTGGATACTAAAGGAAGTCCACCTCCCCTCAGCATCAAAGCCTCTGATTCCATTGTTCTCACATCTCCCCATATGATCTGAGATCTCTGTCATCACCTCTCCAGCAACCACTCAGTCTGAGGCCCCTCTACCTCATGGTTTCCAGCCATTGCTCCACAATGCACACGTGTAGTTGAATGTAGAACCATCCATGTCAGCAATCATAAACTTAAGCACAGAAATTATTGTCTGACAAAGTCTTCTAGAAGTTTGAAAAACATATCACAGTGAATGTTGTAAATTAGTTTTTTTCTTGCCAGTAGAAGAGCAGTTAATGGATAGCCTGATACAGGGAACGAGTTATACAAAAACATGTGAAATATAGCAGCTTAGGTCCAGCAGTCTTCAACTAAGACACATGGGACAAATCTCTGTATTTTTCATAATTTCAGTACCTTATAAGATGGACATCAGGCTTTGAAGCATTCTTAATTTGGGTAGATGTTTTTATTTTTATTTTTCACTTTTCTCAGCAGCATAGAGAATAAGCAAAAAGGAACAAAATGGGAGGCTGTTGTTTAATTGTATATTAGTGGAATAATGATGTCCTTAGGCTTTGGCCATGTCGATAGACATAGCGGTGATGCTGGCATCTAGTGAGTAGGAACAAGGGGTGCTGCTTAATAGTACAACACATAGAACAGGTCTATTTCTCACCAAAGCTTTATTCAGTTCTCAAAGTCATCCCACACTCTTGAGACTACCATTCTGTCTACACTGTCTCATTTAGAATGGTCCATGAGTACCTGCTTGCACAGGGCTGAGGCACTCACCCCCACATAGCCCTATGAGTCTCTGCACAACTCAGCATGTAGGAAATTCTTTAATACTTAGAGGGGCAATTTATCTTCCTATGGGTGCTCTCAGTTGGCCTTATTTTATTCCTTGCAAGTGTGCAAAATAATTCTGTCTGGAGGGCTGTTCTTTCTGTGAGATATTAATATTTGCTGTTGTTGAATCATTTTGTTTGCTTAGTTCCTTTATAAGAACCTCAGGCATTCTGCTGCTGCATCCACAAATGTTCACCTGCATCTTCTCTACGCTGAGATTCCTGAGGAAGTAGCCTGCTTCTCCATAAATGTGTACTGTCCATTACAGAACACAGAACAGTGATTCCCTCCCCTCCTTACTTCTTCTGAAGGAGGCTTGGGTTATGCTTAATTTCTTGTTCTCACTGTCAGGAGCCAATGTCTAAATGAGCTCAAAGCAATACTGTGCAGTAACAGCACAGAGGAGAGTTAGAAATTCCTGGTCTGGCATGGCCATCTTTTCGAATGATTGTAAACAAGTTAAATAATTCACATTAGTTTCACTTGTTCTTTTATGAGTGGAATAAAATTAGCAAGCACATCATATGCTTGTCTTACAGGGGAAAGCAGAATGCCCAGTCTACAGTTAAGTTTCAGATCATTGTTGTCCAAATTAAAGTGAGAATGAAGGCCGACAGCTTGCTAATACCTATGGCTTGGGTTCTCTACCTTTCTTTGTCTGTTTTTTTTCCTGGTTAAAAGAAAAAGTGTGCTACACATAGTTACAATGGGCACCAGGGATTCAATAACTGTTGTACGTTTACCCACATATAGCAAAGATGGTAGGGAAAGACTGACCCTGGGATGAGCTGTGGGAGCTTTGCTGTCTCGCCTCTCTGTAATCAATTTGCTTATCCATGCAGGAAGAAGAGATGCCTCTGGTTGTACTCCTGGAAGTGGCTTTCTTCAAGCTCTGGCTCCCTGCAACCTGCAGAGCCACAGAAACAGTTTTTCGGGACTTATATCTCGAGAAAAAGTAATCTCTCTTTTTGAAACAAAAGGCACTTCTGGGTTTGTCTGTCCGTAGCCTGTCTCTTAGGGTTGGGTATGCATTGATTACAAAGTACTAGTGCAAAGGTAAGGGGCAACTTCTTAAACCTGGTCAGACTGTTAGAGCAGTGTGTTCTGAGTACTATTTAGTCTTTGTTCATTCAGTCAATCAGTTGTCATTTTCATAACCAGGGGCTTGATCAGCTTTTCCATCTTGTCTGTACCAGTGAGATGCCAGTGATGTAAAGATGAGTTAGTCATAGCTCTTTCCCTTGGGGGCTAGGAGATCCAACACAATTCACAACCTCACAGAATCTGTGCAGCATTATATGAGTAGTGCTCATCCTATGGGGGTGAAAAAAGGGGGGAAGAGATTTGCAGTCACGATAGGAGCCTTGGAAAGATGTGGTCATCTTCACCATCTCTGAGGTTTGGATTTGCCTGCAGTGACAGAAGAACTGAGGCCCAGAGCCTTCATTCTTCATTTTCCAACTGTGGGAAAAATTCTTTTAGCCAGGCAGAATATTGCAGGATTGAGTGAGATGATGAGGCTGTAGGTGGAGCTACTTGAGTGACAGGAGAGCCAACCAACCATACTCATACAAGCTCACTCACTTGCCTTCCAGACTGAGAGATGTGTCTGGGACACCGATGATCAGCAGTCGTACACTTGGCCTGCACTTTCACCCCCAGAGGGGTCTGCACCACCAAGTCCCTGTCATGTTCGACTACTTCCACCTGTCAGTGATCTCAGTGACCATCCACGCTGCCCTGGTGGCTCTGCAGCAACCTTTGATCAGGTATGGAGTTCGAGGTAGCCCTAACATGCATCCCATGCGTCCATGGTTGCTGGCTTAAGCTTGGGTCTTCATGTGACCCACAGAAGAGGTGGGAGAAAGCTTGGGAGAGCCCCTGGATCACAGAGGACATTGGGGGATTTCAGGGGTGCAAGACTTGTAAACTGTAGCTCACACCTCAGGGTCTGGGATTCTTCCCTGGGCTTTACTTGTCTCTAGCTGTCCCTTGAGAAGCTCCTCATATTTCTGAGCTATGTAATCTCTGCGTGTAAAATAGGAACACCAACATCTATAAAAAGCTTTAAAAAATTTAAATTCATTTGATATTTTTGGGTATCTACAAGGTTCCCAGCGCTGTATTATTTAATATTCAACTTAAGCTTAGATAATTTATACTCTGACACTTTCATATGTGTATATAATGCATTCTGATTATTCTTCCTCCCAACTTTTTTTTCTTTCCATCTCACTCCTGTCAACCTCCTTTCTTCCTTCCCTACAAGTTCCTTTAACACATTCATGTCTTTTGTTATTTTGTGACCAACTGAGATTGGTGAGGGCCAGTCGTGTGAAGTTTTCGTGAATCCCAGTGGAGGGCAGGGCTACCACACAACAAAGGTCCAGATCTATTCCTTCCCCCAGTGACTGTTTGCTCAAATGCAGGGCTGCTTGTAAGATAGTTTGCCATTGCCCTGCATTGACTCACCTACAGAGTCCCAAGGTGCAGAGGAGAACGTGGGTTTCATTACTTCTGCGAGGGAAGAGATAGAGCTCATAAGAGCTATTGTAGTGGGCTGTGCATGGCTATCCGTCATGGTCCCAGGATGGCTGAATATGCTGAATATGGACATTTAGATAATTTTAAAACAGGGAGAGCAAACAGTTGCACAGATGTGCAATGACATATTTGGGATAAAGTCTTGTAACATAGAGGAAGGAAAATTGTCCAGTTTCTATACTCTAGACAGTTTCTAAGAGTTCCCATGTGTGTGAGAAAAAGCAGAGTCCTCACTTCTTACAATGTCCATAGCCTAAAAGGCCCACTCTTGGTTAGGGTCTGGGAATCAAAAATGAGATGTGACTTTATCCTTGACCCCATTTTATTCATCTGAGAATGGCTTTTCTGGGTGCTGCTGGCCAACTGGGTCATTTCAGATTCTAAATAAGACTGATAGAGAAACCAGCTATGTATTGAGTAACTAGGATGAAAAGCATTACCCAGCAAGAGAGTGGGTGTGGCTGCTGGCTAAGGTGAAGTGAAACAGAGAAGGTAGAACTGGGTTTCATGGTGAAAGTTTGGGGAAGTGTTATGGTTTAGCCTGCATAGGAGTTAAATCAGAGTGTGCCAAAGGTGAGCCAGAGCAGGTGTGCCCCGAGATCAGTGGAGACTGTTCAACTGGATGCCATACAACCCAGATGGGAAAGGAAGAGACACTTCCAGGGGTTCCGGGTCCCAGAGAGTAAGCTATGCCCATGCAGCTAGAGTTAGTCACATCTGCCTGCTTAGTTCCTTCATTTACTTTCTGGGAGATTGTTGAATAGTTTATCAAACATCTCTGGATATCTGTTTCACCATACAGACACATAAATTTACATATAAACAAATAATTTTTGTGACAATAAACCAACAGACATTATGGCTGTATATAATAAAAAAAAAACTATGTAGAGTGTCCCACATGATGAGTATGTGTCTAATAAAGGCTCTTGAAGCAATTCTAGAAATATAGAAACTAGCAATTCTGAGATGCATGTATTGTACCCCTGGCTATAAGAGACATGGGGTCTGGAAGCAATCCAGGTGGTAAGTTTCCAAACTGAGTGGAAGGCCTGGGTAAGGTAGCAGTTAGAAGAATGGGTTTCAGGGCTGGGTGGCCCCAAGTGCCAAATCTGAGATTCTACTTTCTAACTCTGTGCACTTGAGCATGTAGGATTCAGTCTCAGTCAGCAGTGGGAGAATGTTGGAAGGACTCAACGACAGCACATGGGAAGCACTTGGGTATGGATGTGTTTTAATTTTTGTAAAGCACTCACCATATTCTGGGCCACCCATTTAGCACTGACAAATGACAGGAAACTTTCTGCACCTCTTCTTGTGACTCAGAGGAAAGCTTTACAGAAGACATTGTTCTGTCCAGGGGACAGGAGAGTGTGACAGTGAAAATTGAATTTGGGAAGGTAATTGGAGTCAGATTTTGACAGTGTAATTAATGATGTATCCAGGGGTTGGACACAAATTAGTTGAGTATACAGAGACACTGAAGGCTTGTGCCTCAGAACAATCCTCAGGACTTACTCCTCTCCAGCTCCCCCAAGCAGGAGGGTCAGTAGGGCAGGCAGGAGGACAAGTGAGATGCCCAATGGGCTCCCAGCACCTGACATCACCTTTTGCCCCTAGTGCTGCTAGGAGCTCTGACGGTATCTTACTGTGGGTTTGGAGCCGGGATGCCTTAGCAGTGACTTTAACCATTAGATAGGAGCAGACTCTGCAAGTTTGTCGGCAGCAGCCTTCCAGATGGGAGCACACACAGCTGCTGGAGAGCTAAACTTCACAGATGGGGTAAAAATAGAACCGCCTTCCACTCTCTGCGTGTTGCAAGAAGAATTTCTGTCTTGACACATGGTACCTGGGAACAAAGGGAACCCTTTAAGCTTGTGGGAAATACCTGCCAAATGGGGCAAGCACCAGCTTTTCCAGAAAAGCACTCTCACAGCCTCAGTTAGGTCCAACAAGGATGCAGCAGGTGTGGAACTGAAATTTAACCTCAGAAGACCCTTAACCTTCACCGAGAAAGACCAAAGAAAGTCCAATCTTTAATCTTCAAATAGGTAAAACTGAGTGTCTCCTAGGGTCTCCCTCCAGTAGAAATACCAACTAAAAGGCATACTCAAACAACAAGTATTTCAGGCCATTGTTGGCAGATATCCCAGAGAAGGCGTCATGATTCTTTATGTACATGCATTTCTTTTTCTTCTAGAATGTTCCTACAAGTACCTTCTGGCTGAATTGTAAACTTTCTTTAACTCTGAGTTCAGTACATATCCAAAGGCAGATGTGGTGGGGCACATCTATAATCCCAGCATTCAGGAAGTGAGGGCAGGAGGACCAGGAACTTGGCCAAGCTGGCATATATAAAATCCTGTCTCAAAAAACAAAACAAAGCAAATTCAAATAGTGTTAGTATGATATAATACAACTGTCCCTAACTAAGGTAAGTCAACCTAAGGAGCAAACTACCCAGAAACTCAAAGCATTCATATGAAATTATATGTTTTCCTGTAACCAAAATGTATACTACTCCTACATGCTTTAAGTTATCCCCAAATTACTTATGATAACACTGCAATTAAAACTGGAGGATTTTTTATTAAATTAAATAAGATTGATGTCCCATGAGCCAATACACATGTAGATGTGTAGTTTGTGACTGAGTGACTTTGATACAGTTATATTATCAAGAATAGTTATTACCTTTTATTCAATATCATTATTTACTACACCTTACACTTAAAACTAACTGTTGCTAATATCAGGACCCTCTGTGATGCCCCATGGCTCAAGCGCATTACTAATTCTCTGTGAGGAGATGAAGTGTGAGGTTCAAATCTAGCCCAGGTCCTAATATGTAGGTGGTGCCGCTAGCTGGTTTAAGTTTTGCATAACTGTGGTTGTCTACTGAGGCATACCACTTCGGAGTACTCAGCCCTTTCACCCAGCTTACTTCATAAACTTCTCCTCTATGCTTATTGGCTACTGTTTATCTCCCATCACATTCCAACACTGACTTATTCATTTGAGTCCCTTTCTAGACCAATGTGTGCATAACGTGAGGCTGACACATGTACCACCTTGCCACTCTAACACCTCATCTACTGTCTGGCATGTGGCACGAGACTGGTAATATTTGAATACATGGATTAACTAGAAAAGTAACCTTAACTTTATTTCGATGCCAATATTGCTGCCAGAAGCATGAGTTCCTTGTCTGAAATCTGCCCCAGCTGTCTCAAGCAACAAGAGCAAAGACAGTGACAACTGAGGACATTTATGGTGGAGACCCCTTTGTTTTTTATTTGCCATGAGAGATCATTCATCTCTTTGGAAGATTAAAACATACCTATAGAATGGTAATTGTAGAATAAAAAATATACATCTAAATAAGCTTTTAGATTTTTAATTTCTTTTAAACTTCATATGTGAGTACTATATTTACATTATTTTCACCCTTTCCAACTTTTCCTGTGTCTCCTCCAGTCCCTTTCATATTCATGACCTTTTCTTCTTTAATTATTACCATTACATTTATACACCTTGTGGGTCCATTTAGTATTGCTTTTATATATATATATGTGAACATATGTATGATATATATATATGTATATATATGTGTGTGTGTAAGTATATGTATATATGTATGTATATATGTATGCTTAGGGATATACATATACATATATATATATATGCTTAGGCATGACCAGTTGGTATTGGATAACCTATCAGGTAGCTTGTCCCTGTAGATGAATGATTCTCCCTCTTAGCAGTCATTAGTTGCCTGTAGCTCTTCACCTAGGGTTAGGGCCTTGTGAAATTTCATCTATGCACAGTGGTGTGGTGACTGGTATACTCATTGTGCAAGCCTTGTTTAGGCAGCTGTGTTTTTGAGATTTCATGAGTGCAGCTTCCCTGCTATATATAGAAGACACGATCTCACATACCACCCTGAATATATAAAATCTCATCTGAGTCAGTAGAGTTTTAATAGATATCTGAAAGAAAGGGAAACTCGGTGTAAGCAGTTTTTTTTTTCTCTTATTTATTATTGGAGGAAAAAAAGGTTAAGGTAGAGGGAATGACTATATACCCAAATATGATAAGGCCACATGATCTCATCACATTGCCAAATCTCCTTTGAGATTGATCATGGCCAGCACATCTCTTAGATGACCTTTATAATGAATCAGAACTGGACAAAAACCCACATATTTCTCTTGAAGAGATTGCATCATTACCACGTAGCATAGATAATAGGGAATGCTTTATTGACTACAGTAATCTAGGACATATTGCAGGATTCTTGCATGGATTATGGAGATGAATGCTATTTTACATCTTCCACAGGAAGGCGAGTAGAAGCAGGGAGGGGCTGAGGCTAGAAGGAGCTCATGCCAGGGAATGATCCCATGAGGGCAGAAGTAGCTCTAAATAGCATGATTAACTTGGAGGTAGTCCTTCTACTTTAGTCAGAAGCTCTTTCTATCTGTCTCCCAGGATGATGAGTCCCTAGAACATCGCCTCAACAACCTCTCAGCTGATAGACATACAGGCATTAGGGTACCTCTCTGTATAACTATTGATGTGTACTATCCAAGAATACCCAACCATTAGACAGCATTGGGATCATAACATCCAAACCCTCCTGCTGGAACACACCTAAATCTATATACCACATGCACCTAAGTTGTGGTCCCCCACAGGGCTGATTTAACACATGATAGCTTACTCACCTCCTGTTTCTCCCTTCCCCTTCTTTCTAGTTTCACTCGCCCGGGAAGAGGCTCCTGGTTAGGGAAAGGTGGCCCAGACACAGGACCAGAACAGCCTATTATTTCTCTGGAGAACTTGGTCTTTGGAGCTGGATACTGCAAGCCGACTTCCTCAGAGGTAACGTGTGCATACGAGCCATGACCCCATGACCTGCAATTCTCACCTTGAAAGAGTGTGTCCTATGAGGTTCCTTCTTTCAAATGCCTCTTTAGGGCAGTGTTTGACCATTTCTTTCAAGGTCAATCCATCTTTCACTTCTCAACAACCATCTCTCAGATGCATTCTGAGTGTCAAACTCTGTAGTAGACAAAGTGAATATTCTTCTCCTATGGTCCCTCTTATTTCTAGTCCTTTTGGAGATAAGAACTCTCTAGAAGCTAGGTAGTGGTACTACTGTAAGGATGTTTCCTTCACACTATGTGGTGATACTGAATGTCCGTTGGCTTTGAGTCATGCCCGCTTTCAAAACCCAGATCCAATTCTTTAATCTCTCTGTGTTTCTCTCTCTGCCCACCTCTAGAGTGACATCACTAAGAAACACTAATCCCATATGCAATTTATGTGCACCCAATGTTGTTACAAATGTAAAGTTCTTTGCCTAGTTCCTGGTGGTTAGGATCTGCTTAATAAACAAATATGTCTACCGTTCCATTCCCTTTGCTTTTTCCCAAGAAATATACCTGCCATGACTCTTCTCTCATCACGATCTGTATTGCTCTTTAACAGAAGATGTTTTATTAGTGTATTGTTCAGATGTAAGCAACCAATATTACTCAGGGTTACCCGAGGCATAGAGCCAATAACAATGATTCCTTCATTGTTGGAAAGAATTGAATCAAATGATACTGGGGGCTGAGAAGGATGCAAATCTCCCTCACCAAGCTGGAGAGCAAGAAGAGTTGATGGCAGAACTCCAGGCCAAGTCTATTTCCAGAAGCTGGATAACATTGTCACTTATGAAAAACAACTGTTTGCTTTTTTATAGTCAGAAAGGCAGTGGATTGAACCAGTTCTGTCACACTGGGGAAGGAGATATCTTTCCCTCAGGTAGGCCTTTTGTTCAGTTCAAACAGTTCTCAGAGACAACCATCCTGACAGCCACAACAATGTTTAACCAAACATCTAGACACCCCATGGCCCAGACAAGTAGACACAATAAATTTATCATGGTTAAGCCAGTGGCAGGCATGTGAAGGACGGTGCCTAGCCAGCCCTATCACCTTCTGCAACGGAATACTCTTGGGCCAATCTGTTCAGGCGATGAAGTAAAATGCCCTGCTTTTCTGGATTTTTCCTAGTTGGAGATCTGGCTGCAAATGTGAGCCCAGTCACATCTCTATCCAGGTTAAGCTGTCATGTCACATGTTTTCAAGATCCTGAGGTCTCCGAAGTGGGACAGCCATGATTCCCCTGGAAGGATGGGGAACTGAATCCATGGTAGCGCTTGTTCTCATGTATGGAGCTGGGATCAGAGAACGAATGCACACCCTCAGTACCTCTGACACTCACCAAGCTTCCTGAAAGCTAATGTGCTTATCTCCTACACAGGAGCCTCAAATGAGTGAGGGAAAGATGAGTCTCCCAGCATAACACAGGCATTTCTCTTACCTCCCCATGTATCACCAATTTTCACCCTCAATGCCTACTGCAGACCCCTCATCCCTCAGTATATGTGTGGTATGTCGCCAAGTCATCTGGCAATTTCCTTGCTACTGAGATATTGACAACTGACTCTCACACAGGAACAATCATTCTATCCAGTTTTCATTCACAGTTCAACTTTCCTTGTGCCAAGCTCAGCTTCTCTCATAGCACTATGTGGTAGCTTAAAGAGTCTCCCTAATAGACCTACCACCTAAAAACCTTCAGCTCAGACTCTTCCCAAGGGAATATGGCCAGAGACATAGATAATTGTTAGCATTCACAGCCTAATTCAAAACATTTACAGCTGGTCCTTCACATGCTGAGGTCCTTAGCTGGTGTCACTCAAGTGTATGAAAGGGTCATGATTCCATCTACCTTGTGCTCTGGTGCTCAGTGCTATTTGCATCAGCCAAAGCCATTCGTGCCAGCACCGCTGAAATGATGTTGTCTGATTTCTCAAATGCTTGAAGGATCTCTAGCTCTCCCATGCAGGAGCTCTGCGTAGCTCAGAGTAGGGGCCATCTCTTTTAGCTTCTTCCCCTAGGACCTACCAAGACACCTGCCCTACAAAACCAGTGCTCAAGCAATGTATGTTGAATGGAAGGTTGAAACAACTGTGCGCATCATGCTGGTACAGAGTTGAACAGCTAGAGATTCAGGAGAGAGATCACTCACTGTAGCAGACAGAAAGTAAGGGAGGGAGCCATAGTGTGATAGGCTATGTTGGGAGATTGCAAACACGCTAGAACCAGCACTGGGCAGGGCAGCGAACACTGTAGAACATTCCAGCCCACTGAACTTTTACTCAAGACCTACCATACTGCCTGAGACTGTTATAATGTGTCACCTGCTGTGACAAATACTTACAATTTGTGGAAACTTGGTGCTTAACAGAAACTCAGATTGTGCAACTGTGAAATGGGGACTGTCTTTTAGGAAGATTTCAGAGATGTGTATGTGTAAATACCATACAGAACTGGGCTTGGCAGACAGATGAGACAGTATAGTGGGGGGTTGTTTGTTTGTTTGTTTGTTTGTTTTTCCATTTTTTTCTTGGCTGCCTCTGGGGCTCTGTGTCAAAATTAAATGTGCCTGTCTTTCATATGTACAGAGAGAAAGGCTGACTTGTACGTCTTGGCACTGGGCTTGCTCTGGAAAGTTGGCTCAGTGAGTTGTTTTCAAGATTCTGTTCTTCTCTTGTGTGTTTTCCATTTGGGTCCCATCCAATTATGTGGAGTCATTCCTGTGTGCCCACCCTGCACCTTCCCACTAGGCAAGGCTGCCAAGCAGAGAATCCAATCTTAGTTCCGCATTCCCTTGGGAGCTTTGCATGCAAATCTCAAGAAGCCCAGGGCATTAGCAGATAGTATTGGAATCTGCACAGGCTGCTGCATCAGCTGGAGGCATCAGGGAACAGGTGCTCCTCTCCGTAAGCCTTTCCTAGCAGAGGCCCGGGAAAAACCAGAGATTCGTGGCAAAGTGAGCTTGTTAGAAAAAATAGCATCCAAGGAAGGTAAGGAACCATGATGTAGTGGGACCTGCCCCATGTCTCAGATCCCTGTGTCCTCTGGCTCCATTCCTTCTTGACATTTGACCTTTGTATTTAGAGCTGTGGCCTGAGGTTTTGTGTGGTGTCTTCCTATTAAAAAATCATATGGCACTAGAGAAGTTATTCAGTCTTTTTGAGATGACATTCATCTTGGGGTGGTTGCTAGAAGAGCCTCAGTGGCTTCTAAAGAGATGAAATGGTGAAACCCTGCAATGGACTGGAGTGGAGTTTGGCACAAAATTCCCTGAGAAAACCGTCTGTTGATAGGATATTTTCTTTTCGTCTGCATGGTTAAATCAATGTCAGTCCAACTCCTCTGACTCTATTTTTGTAGGTGGGATATTGAAAAGTTCTGCTCTTGGCTTCAGTATTAAACTCCTATGTGACCTTGACCTGCCACTTGCCTTCTCTAGCTCTATTTCCCAACACATAGAAAGAAAACTGAACTTCCTAGAAGTCTTTTAAGGCTTCCCTGCTGTGTCTACTGCTGTATCCTTGTCACTGCCTCAAACAGCTGCGTCAGTTGAGATATACTTGAGTCAATAGAGGAAGAAATCTGATGTTGACTTCAAGACTCCACATGTACATACAAGTGTGCAAATACACACATATCTCCCCCCAACACACACAATCACTGTAACCACCACTACCACCATCACCAACAACAAGCCTTCCCGTTAACTATGAGAAGTGTGGTGTGGGTCATTTTAGTTCACACCTACAGCCATCTGTTCTCCCTTAAGATGTCATTTCCCAGCTGCCCCCTGACACCAGGTGAATGGAATGCCAGATGATACATGTGTGTCTGTCATTGATTGAGTTCCCCTGTGCAGGTCTCATTTCTTATATACCTGTGTGTGTTTCCCCAGAGTGCATTTGGTGAGCTCCTGCCTTGTGGTTTTCATCTGCATTTCACTGATTACTCATGCTAAAACATTTTATTTCTGTCTTTCCTTTATATTTATTTATTTGTTTATTT